AAAATCAGTTTACAACTTTCTTATACATAAGTGTATCATAAATATCATTCAAAATCAATTTTCGTAAAAAAAACGGGAATCTGAAGTGTTCATAAAAATTACAAAATTTAACCAGTTGCTAAGGGCAACCGGTTTTAAAATATGCAATAAGTTGACCGCAGAATGCATTTAAAAGGAACATAATTAAGGGGGGTACAATATATGAAGTGTTCTTCAATACATATAAAATAAGTTAATGCATGCGTAGCAATTTCTGGTTGATAAGTTTTTACTTGACGGTCGCTGCGTTTGAAAGGATAATACATTTTTTTATCTTTTGTGATTAATGAAAAGCTATATTAAGTAACGAAGGATAAAGGGTTTTTGTTCAAAATAGTTCCGCTAGGGATTGTGAATCTAGACTGAGCGGCGACAGTAGTTAATGCCTTTTTCTTTCATTGACACCTGCGTGGGGCTAATAGAATAGCTCCTGGTGATTGTGAAATACCGCGACTAAAAATAGATCGGCACATGCGCAGTCTACAAGAACGTTACGCTTTGACAGTCATTTCCTTACAAGATGTAGGTAAGTAAACAAGTTATATTTTACAAATGTATAAATATTATTTTGAACAACTATTTGTTTTTTAATTTATATATTAAAATGTTAAGCACGTATCTTTTTACAAACATTTCTTTTATCTGTAATGATGGTAATTATCTCACCGTCTAGGGCCGAGGACCTGACCTACAATGTCCGCGATTCAAGCCCTAAGATCATGTATACGAGTCGGCTCCGTATACTCTCGGGAGATTTAAAATAAATTAAAAAAATAGACGGATGATCACATTCTAAAAATATTTCGATGATGTCATTCTAAAATAGAATCCAATATGGCCGCCACGTGTCTGTTAATCAACACGGCTGCCGCGCATGTGTAGTGATGTCATTTCTTCTATGCAAATGAATTACTATTTATAGAATCCAAAATGGCCGCTGCGCATGCGCAGTCTTGGGGCTAAAGAGACGCCCATACTACTTGGGTGTGTCATTTAGACCTTGAATGGAAAATGTTGAAATCAGAGCCGTCATTATGTACCTCTGTAAGAAAGGAATGTCCTCCAAGGAAGTCCATGAAAACTTCATGGATACACTTGGGAAAGTCCCCTTCCTTTAGCACTGTAAAAAAATGTGCTGCTGAATTTAAGAGGGACAGGGAGAGCATTAGAGATGATGAGCGGCCTGGGCGGCCGAAAGAGACAACCAACGATGAAACTGCCGAAGCTGTGCATGATCTGGTCATGTGCAACAGAATGCAGGACCCTCGAAGCATTGCTAGGGAAGTGGGTATAAGCTTAGGTTAAGCTCAGGCAATTCTGACTGATGTCTCTGGCCAAAAGGACCCGGCACAGTGTTTGGATAGTGTAAAAAAGTAATTATAGAAAAAAAAAACTTTATATATAATATATAGACAAGGGGTTGAACTCGCCAAATCGGCCGAATGCCCCTAGTCCAGTATAAGTCAAAATTGCAATGTCATTCTTGCGTAAATCTTATAAAGCTATCTATCAAATTGCAGCTAAATGACATCACCGCACTTAAATCGTTTTTGAACAACAAACCGATGTTTCGGATGAAACATCGTATTTTTGCTAGGTCGGACACAACTGTGCAACCTGTCCCCACTCGATTGTCTACGTGTTAAAACGCAATTCCAAACCATGCCATTATACCAACCCACAATAAGTCGATAATTCAAAACAAAAGAAACAACATACCGCCGGAAATTGATTTTTAAAATGTGTGATAGCGTCTGTAAACAACTAATTCCTGAATGTCAAAATAAAAGTTGTAATCTGCATCCATTGGCTATCACGTGACCGATATGAAACGGATTATTTCATTGGTTGATTAAAATACAAATCATTGCTGGGTCACAGTATCGTCCAATTAAACGACGTCTAACAACCGTTGCCGAGTATGTGTCATGTCTTCAAAAAATTATTTTAACGGAAGAGAAATAAAAAGAAGTGAATGTTTGCTATAATTGATTGGTTTTGAAACAATTTCTAGCGGTAAGTTGTTTATTTTGTTTTGTTTTATCGACTTATTGCGGGTTGGTATAATGACATGGTTTGGAATTGCGTTTTTGGACCGGCTCGACATTTCAAAATATCTTTTGTCTCGCTACAAGTGGGCAAAGTGCATTGATGTAGAGGGCGATTATATTGAAAAGAAAGATCATTAGTTGGGTTCTCTGACTACCGGAAGTACATCGGGCCATGATTTTTTATCAATCCTCGTATACCTGTATTTATATATATGTAAATGTCTTTCGTTTCCATAGAAATACAGTAGGGCTTATCAAATCTCTCTCTCTCTCTCTCTCTCTCCCTCCCTCCCTCCTCTCCTCTCTCTCTGTCTCTCTCTGTCTCTCTCTGTCTCTCTCTCTCTCTCTCTCTCTCTCTCTCACATTAGGATTGAATGACATGCTTTTTAGCTCACCTGAGCACAAAGTGCTCAAGGGTGAGCTTTTGTCATCACTCTGCGTCCGTCGTGCGGCGTGCGTCGTGCGTCCTTCAAAAAATGGCGTCAAACTTTTCAAACAACATCTCTTCCTTAACCACATGCCCAATTGCAACCAAACTTTACGTGATGATCCTTAGGTGGAACCCTTTCAAAGTTGTTCAAAAATTTAAATTCCATTAAAAACTAGAAAAAACTTAAAAAATCTTCTTTTAAAAAACCTCAAGAGCTAGAGCTAAGATATTTGGCATGAAACATCTTCTAATGAGTGTCTACCAAGTCAAATCAAGGCCCTGGGGTTATATGTGTATAGCAAAAACTTAAAAATCTTCTTTGAAAAAACTCAAATAGCTAGAGTTTAGATATTAAGCATGAAACATCTTCTAGTGAGTGTCTACCAAGTTTGTTCAAATAAAAGCCATGAGGTCAAAATTGGCCCCGTCCCAGGGGGTCTTTGATTTTCCTTATATGCATATAGTAAAAACTTAAAAAATCTTCTTTTAAAGAACCCAAAAGCTAGAGCCAAGATATTAAGCATGAAACATCTTCTAATGAGTGTCTACCAAGTTTGTTCAAATAAAAGCCCTGGGGTCAAAATTGGCCCCACCCCGGGGGTCTTTGATTTTCCCTATATGCAAAGAGTAAAAACTTATAAAATTCTTCTTTTAAAGAACCCAAAGAGCTAGAGCTAAGATATTTAGCATGAAACATTTTCTAATGAGTGTCTACCAAGTTTATTCAAATAAAAGCCCTAGGGTCAAAATTGGCCCCACCCCAGCGGGTCATTGATTTTACCTATATGCATATAGTTAAAACTTAAAAATCTTCTTTTAAAGAACTCAAAGAGCTAGAGCTAAGATATTTAGCATGAAACATGTTCTAATGGGTGTCTACCAAGTTTGTTCAAATAAAAGCCCTGAGGTTAAAATTGGCCCCGCCCCAGGGGTGTCATTGATTTTCCTTATATTTGTATAGCAAAAACTTAAAACTCTTCTTTGAAAAAACCCAAATAGCTAAAGTTTAGATATTAAGCATGAAACATCTTCTAGTGAGTGTCTACCAAGTTTGTTCAAATAAAAGCCCTGGGGTCAAAACTGGCCCAAGGTCCCATGGGGTCTTTGATTTTCCCTATATGCATATAGTAAAAACTTAAAAAACTTCTTTTAAAGAACCAAAAGAGCTAGAGCTATGATATTTAGCATGAAACATCTTCTAATGAGTGTCTACCAAGTTAATTCAAATCAAAGCCCTAGGGTCAAAATTGGCCCCGCCCCAGGGGGTCATTGATTTTCCCTATATGCATATAGTAAAAACTTAAAAACCTTCTTTTAAAGAACTCAAAGAGCTAGAGCTAAGATATTTAGCATAAAACATGTTCTAATGGGTGTCTACCAAGTTTGTTCAAATAAAAGCCCTGGTGTCAAAATTGGCTCTGCCCCGGGGGTCATTGATTTTACTTATATGTGTATAGCAAAAACTTAAAAAATCTTCTTTGAAAATACCTAAATAGCTGGAGTTTAGATATTAAAGATAAAACATCTTCTAGTGAGTGTCTACAAAGTTTGTTCAAATAAAAGCCCTGGGGTCAAAATTTGCCCCGCCCCGGGGGTCATTGATTTTCCTTATATGACAGTGTAGAGCAAAAACTTAAAATTCTTCTTTGAAAAAACCCAGATAGCTAGAGTTTAGATATTAAGCATGAAACATTTTCTAGTGAGTGTCTACCAAGTTTGTTCAAATAAAAGCCCTGGGGTCAAAATTGGCCCACGCCCCAGGGGGTCTTTGATTTTCCCTATATGCATATAGTAAAAACTTAAAAAATCTTCTTTTAAAGAATCCAAAGAGCTAGAGCTAAGATATTTAGCATGAAACATTTTCTAATGGGTGTCTACCAAGTTTGTTCAAATAAAAGCCCTAGGGTCAAAATTTCCCCCCGTCCCGGGGGTCATTGATTTTCCTTATATGTGTATAGCAAAAACTTAAATCTTTTTTGAAAAAACCCAAATAGCTGGAGTGTAGATATTAAGCATGAAACATCTTCTAGTGAGTGTCTTCAAAGTTTGTTCAAATAAAAGCCCTGGGGTCAAAACTGGCCCCGCCCCAGGTGTCATTTATTTTCCTTATATGTGTATAGCAAAAACTTAAAAATCTTCTTTGAAAAAAACCCAGATAGCTAGAGTTTAGATATTAAGCATGAAACATCTTCTAGTAAGTGTCTACAAAGATGTTCAAATAAAAGCCCTAGAGTCAAAACTGGCCCTGCCCCAGGGGTGTCATTGTCTTTAACTATATGTGTATAGCAAAAACTTAAAAATCTTCTTTTGAAAAACCCAACGAGCCAGACCTTAGATGTTTAGCAGGAAACATCTTCTAATGGTTGTCTACCAAGTTTGTTCAAATAAAAGCCCTGGGGTTTAAACTGGCTCTGCTCCAGGGGCCTATATACAGGTGAGCGACTTCAGGGTCATCATGGCCCTCTTGTTTGTTTTTGTAGAATTTCAGGCATATTACAAAGGAACACTCGAACGATTTGTACGTTACATAAAACTTTTGTTCCATGGAGGGCGTATCGTGTTGTACGAGATACTGAAAGCAAAGCTGGGTGAAAGAAAGATGGAAACGCTGTCCAGAGGAAATCTTGGAGATAAATGTTCCAGTTGCCTCTATTCAAAAGGGTCTTGTTCAGATGATAAAAACTGGGATGTTTCTCTTCTTGCAGACGTTTTGCTATTTGAGTATAAAGATGACCTTGAAGATGAAGTGATTGAGAATATCAAGCGCATACAAAGGTTAAGGGAAAATTATGCCACCCTTGCGTCGCAGTCTTTAGATAATGATGAATATATTAGCAATTGGACTGATCTCACCTTGTCTCTTAATACTCTATCAGAAAAAATTCCCAAAGGCGACAAACAACAGATTAAAAATCTTATCGAATATTATAAGAAAAAAGGCAAAGAAGGATCTGGCGCTAATGACTACATTAAACAGCTAAGAAAATTTGGTGTTGAAGACGAAGTCTACAATGGTATCCTTATTTATTTCTAAGAATGCATCTATTTCTAGGTGACCATATATATTTTAATAAGTAAATCAAAAATGATAGTAAACACGTTTGTCTACATTGTTTCTTAAACATTTATTTTATTAATATTAATTTTTCTAACATTTTGTGAACAATACATAAAAGTATAGTATGACAATCTTTTTTTTGTAGAAACTCTTACGGAATTGAGAGATATGCTGAACCAGTTGAGCCAAGAAGGTATTAAGTTTCAACAAGAACATGGTGAGTATAAAAAGTTGATGGAATAAGCTATTAGATTAGAATTGAACAATATTTGCAAGTTTCATATATATTACGATTTCAATAAAAGTGTTTTACAACATACACTCATATATGTCATAGCAATTCAGTTTTCGTCTGCTTCTTTTCAGTTTTCAAGTTTATATTGCTGACAACATGTGAAAATGAAGGGAAAAAAAAGATAGCAAACGACTTACTCAAAAAATACCTGCAAGCTTCACTGCAACAGTCAGATGAACCGTCAGGTCATTTAAGGAATATATTAGACAACCTTATTGCTGGCCTGTCCGCAGGTCCGGATGTGACACCGGTTCAAGTAAACCTAAAAGGAAATAATCAGCCTTTGGAAAAAGTTTGCAAATCCTGAATTATTGCTAACTCAACAACCCTCTTAAACGCTGTTTTAATAGAAAATGTTAAATCAAACAATAAATTTGGATGGACAAAGACCATGATTAGACATTAATAGGAAGATGGCCAAATAATTTAACGCTGGGAGTGCCTCCAATGGAGATACTCATTCTTCAGTGGGGTTTTACATACATTTTTCACGTTATCTATAAAATATTATTTATTGCCATTCATCATTTATACCTTTAAAGTTTGTTTTTGTTTGTTTGATTTTGTTTTACGTCACACCGACACATTATAGGTCATTTGGCGACGTTCCAGCTTTACTGATGGAGGAAGACCTCAGGTGCCCTTTCGTGCATTATTTCAAGCACAAACGGGCACCTGAGTAGAACAACCGACGTACACTTTAAGTAAATCTATTTCTGAAATAAGAATACATTCTCAATGACTCTCCATGACAAGGAACAAGTAATAATAAATGCCGGTTTCTTTTTGCCGCAGCGGATTTTGGCAAATTAAACCCCTATTTGTACGTGCTTTCAAAAAATGTAAACTATCTTTAATTGTTATATTCATCAAAAGGTTCAAAAGTTAATATGTTTTGTTTTTCTATCTTTACTACTTTTTATGCAATGCATTTAAAGTTTGCATTTGCCATGGCAAAGTGTGTTTTGCCAATTTCGCCATGGAAATGTCAAAAATTTGCCATGGTAAAATATTTTCAATAAAAAATGTATGGAAATGTAAGATTTTTCTGTCTTTGAAGAAAGTTTCATTAATTTATACATGACAGAAGACATATTAAAAAAGAGTATTTTAAGATTTTATAGTTTACGCATGGAATTTCTTTTCTTTCCAACCACGGGTCATATTAACCTTTTCCCTTATATAAGCGTGTTTTGACGACTTTTTGCCCCACCCCACCTTTTTGAGGCCTCAAACAGTAGAAAAATGCCCTATTTAGGCCCCCAAGCACTGTTTTTCGTTTGAGAAATGTTGTTAAAAAAGTGACTACTTTTTCGCCAAGAAAATTTTGGACATGTGACAGGCTAAAAATGGCCTCATGTCGATCTTAGGTTAACTAGAAACCGACGCTGAAAAGCCTTTTACTCTATCTCATTTCATTGAGAAGTTGCAGCACTTTGAAATCAGTTTTGATGGAAAAAAACAATGCAAAATTGTATTTTTTGCCAATTTTGAGATGTCCCCCATTGTCATGGTAACAGGAAATTTACGATTGAGCATGCTGTTACAGAGGGTATGGTCTAGTCAACTTTTGTGCTAAGTTTGATCAGTATTGAAGCATTTTACATAGTTTCATAGCAGTTTGAACTTGTTACAGGAGGCTCTTCAATGAAAATGGCCATTTTTCGCAATATGCTTATGGGGTAAAAGGTTAATACAAATATATGAAATTTTAAAATGACAACAATTATGAGATCAAGGATTTATGCTAATCAATAGTTAAGGTTGAGTAGTAGTTATATAAAAGAAAGAAATAAGAATCCCTAGAGAAAGCCAAACACGGCAAAATTGAAAGGATGCAGGCTCGGTTTGATTAAGCCTGTTCATTGACGGTAATGGTAAGTGCAAGTTACCGTCCACGTCCCCTAGCACCGGCTTAAGCAGAAATCATCATTTAACATAAACTGGTAAAATCTGGAATTTTGAAACATCCGCAGATGTGTTCATAGCCTGTTATCATGGAACCTTCAATGTGACACGTTAGTGCCATTCCATGAAAAGCGGCATATGGTCCACAAGTAAAAAATGCGTGTGTCCTAAACTATTACAATGGGCAGAACTAAATCAAGTGGTATTTTGAAAGGGGGTCAGAGGTTATGAAACTTGCAGTTTCACAGATATGACGTCAAAAGACAAATTTAAAAAGCAGGTCATATATTCAAAGGGCGATATAACATTATTTAAGTGAGGAATACTGGAACCACCCAACAAAATGTTGCCGAAAAGAAAGAACTTTAATACTACAAGCACAACAATAATGTCGTGCTGAACGATCTTTAAGGATCAAGATTCAAGATTCAAATTTTTTATTGGCAAAAATATATGACAATGTCCATCGCCATGTTCGGCGGTTTAATTAACACATAATGAGAAAAGTATGTACAAAATAAGAATGAGATAATTATAGATTAGTTAGTAAATAGATTAATAAACCAATCTTTTTAAGTCTCTTACTAAACATGCAACATTCCTGATTGAATGTAAGTACCATTTTATGAAAAGTGGCATATCACAATAAAAATAACATAATTATGTATAAATATGCAATAATACTATTGTTATTTCTTACAATAATTATGTCTCCCCAAATTTTTAGAAGACATGTTGTTTTTGCCTTCGCCTTCTATCTGTCTGTCCGTCCTTCCGATTGTCCGTATGGCCGCATTAAGTTTGTCCGTCCTTCACAGATTAAACTACTGGTGGGATTTCAACCAAACTTCACAGGTGTGATAAGTACCATCCCTCGTGGTGCACATCATAGGCACGTTCCGCTTTGCTGTAAAGAGCTAAAAATAGAAAAATCTTGTCCGGCCTTTACAGGTCAAATAACTGGTGGGATTTCAACCAAACTTTAAAGGAGTTATCAATACCATCCTTAGTTGTGCACATTTCTTGCACGTTTCGCTTCGCTGCAGAAAATGGCCACCAGAACTAAAAATAGAAAAAACTTGTTCGGCCTTCACATGTCAAACTACTGGTGGGATTTCAACCAAACTTTACAGGAGTGTTCAGTACCATACTTAGTTGTGCATATTACCGGCGCGTTTCGCTTTGCTGCCCAAATGGCCGCCGGAGCTAAATATAGAAAAATCTTTTTCGGCCTATACAGGTCAAACTACTGGTGGGATTTAAACCAAACTTTACAGGAGTGATCAGTACCATACCTAGTTGTGCATATTACCGGCACGTTTCGCTTTTGCTGCCCAAATGGCCACCGGAGCTAAAGATAGAAAAATATTTTTCGGCCTATACAGGTCAAACTACTGGTGGGATTTCAACCAAACTTTACAGGAGTTATCAGTACCATACCTTGTTGTGCATGTCACTTCAAAATGGCCGCCATAGCTAAACATAAAAAAATCTTGTCCAGCCTTTACAAGTCAAACTACTTGTGGAATTTATGCATTTGCAAACATATAAAGTCATTTACCTTAAATAGGTTTAATTGACTTGATAGCATTGACGATTAAGTAAGGGTAAGCAAGTACTGTATCGCATGTGCATTAAAACTAAGTCTTTAAGTGAAATGCAACCTTTTTTTCTTTTAAATAACTACATAATATGTTTGGCGGAGAAAAGATGATGAATTCAGTCCGATAATGGTACGAAAAGGAATAGGTTTTTATCCTGTTCAAGTGCACTTATGCAAGTACATTGCAAACATTTTCCATGGCAATCTACTGGGGAAAAACACACAAATTCTTATACTAAAAGCCATTTCAATCATCCAAATCCACATCATTATCACCATGACCAAAATTATCATATTTATTAGGATCATCATCGTCGTCGACGTTATCATCATCATCATCATCATAATACTCATCACTTGTGTGTACAATTGTTGATTCAGAAATCATTTTGAATTATTTGTCAATCACTTATGCAGAATTTTGTAATACTAGTTATCTAGTCACGAAATTCTGGTGAACTGACCAAACATTTGTTAGAAAAATTGATGAAAAAAAAGAAACAAACAAACGCTCAATCATCATCATTGTCATATCAAAAATCCTTACACAATTTACTTCCCCATCTGTCTCTTCTTATCTTATTTCCGACATAATCATCATCATCATCACAATTGCAATAGTTCTAATCGTCACCCTCCTCCTCCTCATCATCATCATCAGCAGCAGCAGCATCATAATCATCATCAACATTACAACTATCATCACCCCAATCACCATCACTATTAACATCATTATCACAATTTACATCATATTCACCATAATCGTTACTGTCTCAATACACGTTCCTTTACTCTCTTTCCTTTTACTCTCGTAATTTTTGTCATAATCGTCATCATCCAAACAAGAATAATCATCATCAGCATCATTATTTCCATCATCATCTTGAAAGTACCATAGATTTTATAATTTCCTGTTCGAATGTTGCAATGTCGTTCACTTTATTTCGTTTGATGAAACGGTAAAGTACTGACTAGCTGCTAAGGGAACTTTTTTTTTGAAGAAATCGTTGATTTTTGTTCCTGACGCCCAAAAACCTCGGCCAAAACTAACTATTACTTTGATTAGCACATTAGCGTAATGCTAAATACTCGTACACATTGTGTGAGCTGGTCAGATTATATAACAGTTTCTTGGCTTCAAACTGTACTGACTTTTTCCTAAAGAGATGATCCATAGAGTGATAATGAAAAATTATAAATAGCCTTCCATCTAAATTTTAACTATTTTGATTATGAAAAGCCGTTTTGTATAAATTGTACGTGCAATTTTGACATCTGTAAACTAACGGTAAGTATATCATTCATTTGTCTTGGTCAATAAATAATTTTATGCACATTCAAAGTGTAAATAGTGAGTGTACTAGTAGGAATCAAAATAACTTCAGATTTTGCAATAATTGTTTGTGACCTTTAATTCTATTTCACATTTATAATCGAAAACACAGAAAATTCTATAAGGGCAGTTTTTTATATTATATGTTAAACATTATGTTTATAAATTATGGTAGATATATCGCGTCAGGGATGGCAAAGAAAGCGACCGCCTCCAAATTAGATTTTGGACATGGAGCGTCAATAAAAATTATCTTTGACAAAAATAGCAAATATATGTCACCAATTCCCACAACAGCGACTTTGGTATAAAGTCGTACCTGCAACTGTCTCATATGGAAGCTTGAATTGTTAATTATGATATTGATGACTTTCCAAATAACAGTATATCGGTAAGGTAGATCAATAATGTTATGGCAGTAAAATGCAGAGGGACACAATAACACGGACGTCTGAACACCTTTCAATGTTTTCCTTTATACTATTCTGTCAATTTGTATGCCATAATTAACTATTGACGAAATGCTTGACAGTATAATAGTCACATATATGTGCATATTCACCTATGAAAACGTTAAACATGTATATACATGTCAGTATAGTACAAATGCGTTCCATCTGAGGGTCGTCTGGACACATAATCAGGGTATAAATGTACTAAATGTACTCAGATAAGTTACTGTATAAGTGGTAAACCTTGCGATCTGGAATTTTTTGCGATTTTTGCGCATTGAGAATTATTCACAGGGCAAAACTTATTTCGTTTTAGGCAAACATTCTGGTATCATTTGAAAACACTTTTTCATACAGCATCTTACATGAATAAGTTGGACTGTTTTGGTACTGAGATTTTTTTTTCTCATTGCTTGTTTGTTTAAGTTTGATCTTAACAAATCCTTAATGTATTACTTTTAATGAAACAGTATATGTATCAATAACACAAAAGGTCATTCATATAACAAAATAATGTTTCAGAATATAAAAAGAAATGTGTGATCAGGTCATTTATCAAACTATCAATGTATATTTCAAACAATTATAAAATAATAAAGATATTAAACAACTGAATAGAACATTACAATAACGGCATATTCTTAACATGTACCTGCTTAAATAATGATATCACAAAAACAGTATTAAATCAAGATAATGATATTTTCGCAAATATTTCCGCAAGTAAAAAGTCCACTCTTTGACATTCGCAAAGTTAACGCAAAAATATCAACTTCTACAGTACTTACAGCTTTGCTTTATAAGTATTATGCTGAAGACACCATTATAAAGACGTATAAGTAGTCCCGTATAAACATCTTTGTAAGGACATTTGGATTTTCATCAATATCTTTACAACATGAAGTACATTCCCCACTAGCAAACAGTCAAATATTCCTCTGGGCAAAACGATATTTCTAATAAATTTAATCATTATATTTTTCACTTGATTTGTATTGGTTTTTTTGTTGTTGTTTTTTGTATTATTCTAACTACATTTGAACTCCTTTAAAAACGTTTTTTGTAATCTTTTAATTTCATATGTACACTACTATTAGCCAGAACAGTACACTTGGCAGTAAACTGAAATGTCCTTTCAACGAAATCCAAACGTATTTTTAATGATTAGTTTATATACATATGTCACGGACATATACCAAATTTTGTTTTAAAAATACAATTGACCTTTCAAAGTGTCTACATTTCATGTATTAAGGTTTTGGTTTGGTGGAAGGGGTTTAGTTTCCGAATATTGATAAGGTCTTTCCGACAGTGCCAATGATGTTAAGACGTTGTCATATTTTCCAAAAAGCAGAGATATAACAAGGCTTGTCGAGATGACGTAGGTTGGCATAGCTTTTCGAAATTCTCATAAACTCCATTACTGAGTCAAAATACATGTCGACATGCCTTGAAACAAACGCTGTCAATACGTCTTTCTTATCCTAACAAACAATGAAAGAGGACGTCATGTCGCGTAAATATATGTCGACATGACGACACACAAGTAATCACGAACATGGTATCTAGGGGTCAACTCAAGTTTCCATACAAGCATCTCATATAATGATTTTTTATAACGTTTTAAGATTGTTTTATCTTTACATATTATGTATGACATGAATCGATAACCTAAACATTCAAGTAAACTACAAATAAGTTTCATGTAACTCAATATGAAATGCATATAAATATTGAGAGTTAACAAAATTCTTTGTGTGCGAATATACTTTTCGAGAAAAATCAGTCAAGAAAGCAGTTGTGCCAGGTACGTTTTAGAATTTACCACACTGCATTTTTGCCAAAAACTTTGGATAACGATGATATGTATATTACCTGTATTAATATTAACGTTTTCTCCATTTTTATCTTTTACAACTGATTTATGTGTAAAAGCTATATATCTGATGCAAAAAAAATTGTTTGGATTTTAAAAAGAATATTTCAAAAATGCTTGTATGAAATGAAAATGGCAATAAATGCCTTAATGCGAGTGGTGCATGCACAAAGTCATTGCTAAACGGATAAAACCCTATTTAAAATAGCAAAATAATATTTTGTTCCGGAACATTTTATTCTTTTTACGTACATTTCCATGTGTATTAAATAATAGAGACATTCTATTACAACTTTTTCGGTAATCAGCCATAAAATAATGGAACCAATATAATTTTACAGTTGATAAAATTTATAAAATATTTCATAGGATATAGATATATACCCTTTAACAACATGTTATTTTTATTAGAATCCTGTAAGACAGTAGACCCAGAAATATAGACGTGTTTGGTCTATCCTTTGAGGATCTCAATAGCGCACTTTGCAGAAAAATTTACTCCAGACTCTGATTCAACAAAGGTTTGTTTTCTTTAATTAAATGCAATAACTTCCATTTGTGTATGCAAAATTCTTTGATTCACTTTGTATCGGATAAGATATAAATATGCGTCATTCCAGTCAATACGCTAAACTAATTTCTTTGGACATGTAAACATTATCGTTATGGATCTGATTTCATAATTTCTTTCGAAACTATGCTTTCAGAAATTTTAGCAAGAAGCCTATCAATTAACTTCTTTAGGTTTCTATTGTATGGTTTAAATATACTCTCGAACCATTTTAGCTACACTTTTCGAAAATGGCCCTCACATCGGGCGTAGGCGTTGTTTAATTGTTCCTGCGTGTTCTGAAACCTATATAAGCTTTTGATATAAAACTTTGTAAACTTTTATATTGTTATAAGAGGATGCCATTTCCAAATGACTGCCTATCGTGTCTGCAGAATAATGCCCCATTTTCTCTGTCGATTTTTTTTATCTAAGATAAACTTACATCACTGAACTATGGAATACCAGCCGTTAACTTATCATAACATTTAGCACCATATTTTATTGTTTTTATTATTAGTGTAATATCTTTATATGTTCACTATTTATATGAATCTGTGCATTTTACAATTGTACACAGGTGCTAGAAAAAACGAGGAACATACAACGAAATGCAGAAACCAGAAGTCCCTTTCTGCTCTCACTCTGCCACAGGACGTAAGTATCAATTTTTGTAATAAAGATGCAATTAGCTTTTGAATAATAGTAAATAAATAACTTTCCATTAGGTGTTTGTGTTACCGAAGTAAAATAATGAAGAAAGTATAGAATTTTTGTCTTTAAAATTTACTATCATTTTACACACATGTACATAGTGTATTAGCTATGGAAAAGGGCGGATGATTTCGATCAATCAAATAAAAGAAGTTCTAGAATGTTTAAGGAGCTACTGCGCAGAGGTACTTAAGGAATTTATAACATTTAGAAATAAATCCAAAAGAATCTACAAGTATTTATTTTCTTGAATTCCGTAGATCTATGTATATGGTATTAATAATTTAACTTTACCAAGTATGACATTTGTGAAATAAATGAAATAAGTCATCTCTAACTGCACTCAATTTCTTATATATCTATGCAAAATTCTAATTTCCGGATGCTCTGAAATGACCTTGTAAGTACATGCAAAACTATTTTTACAGAAAATTCAAGAAGGCTACAAGCCGATAAATTATGTATCCACAATAGTTATGGAAGAGGAGATTATTCTTGTTTAAATCACTTATTTGCTTATTTTGTACATTTAAATGCAGTTTAGTTATTGATTTCTTTTCAAAACTACACAGATTAGAAGCAAAAGGAAACATGTTTAGAGACGATCAAGACATGAATAGCCTTTTATGTTTCATAAAGACCAGAGTGCACTCGAAGCCCGAGTTAAAGATTTCATGCAGGGTGATTAATAGCATATGGTGAAAGAGCAGGGTATCAGATATCTTAGATATCCTGAGAAAATCAGTAATTTTTAGATACGAACTGATCACTTTTAAACAGGACAGTTCTAATACACGTACCTGGTTGCATTAATACTTGATGTAGCAGTATAGAGGAGAGTTCTCGACTATAACAGTTTTATGATGTAACGATAGAAAACACCAAGACATTTAATGACATTCATATTCTTTGTACTAAATATTCATTAACTGTTCATGTTAATTTATAACGTTAATTTGGTTCTAGGGTTATTATTATTGATATGACTGAAAATTCAAATTATTCTAAGTAACTAAAGTTATTTTACGTGACATCCTTATTTTCGGTTTGTGTAATCACAAAATCAACCAATTTTATTCAAATTTTAGAATGGTATACTAATACAGTTGTATTGATATTTTATTTACACTATAAGTTAATATCTTTAATACATATTAAGTGGCACGTAAATAAAATAAATGAGATCACTGATTCTTTATTTAAAAAAACGCAATGTTTCCATAAATTTGTTTAACAAGATAACAATGATCAGGATATTCTTGTAGTTTTTATCATGTTAAGAATCATTTTAAATATTTCATAGCTTATCGGCATACATTTTCTGTTACAGTTGCAAAAGTTAGCTGGATTGGAAAAGGGGAAGCATGAGAAGAGACAGTTTAATCACGAAGAGGTAAATCAAGGAAATGATCAAAATACATTATTATTTTTTCCTGTTAGACATTTAATCCCTTATTCCATAGGCATAATAGTAAGGACTTTAAAGTTCATTTACTTGCCATATATTTATGTTATTACCAGTATTAGTTACGCATAACCTTCACTAGTACTTGAATTACTTTAAGAAGTGATTTTGACTTGAAAACAATTGAAATTAACTATTCAATAGACCTGCCTAACTGACAAAACAAAAGTACTAGTGTCAAATTACTTTAAACAATCTTGAACTGGCACTAATGCTGCATATGTTGACAAGTACTGGTACTGGTCAGAACCTGTACAGTGATAACCTGTAAATAAAAGATTGACTTCAATTTTACCAGTGACACGAGTTTTCCTGTTGTGTTAGAATAAAGTTATGTTGCTGTCATACTTAACGTTCACAGTCACATAATCCGGGAAGCGCAATTCGCCTATTACGTGAACATTTTTGGATGAATTAACATAGAATATATTTTTTACAATAACCGGCATACTTTTTCTTTGTTATAATGCAGTTGCAAAGTTTTAGTGTAGATGATGTTATGATGGAGGAGAAGCATAATGCTGAAAAAAGAAGATGAAGAAATGGCAGATTTGATTTATCATGACGAGGTGAATTTAAAAGTTTTTCGTTGAAGAATTTTCCTTAAATAGTCTAATAACATTTACCAGAGATAACAATAATGGATTTTATGGTTCATACTTACATCCTCACATATATATACCATTTAGATTTGTATAAGATGTACATTCTTGGCAAGGGTATTACATTTCTATCTGAGTTTGATTTGACATGTTATCATACAAACTGCTTTGAAGTTTCATCACCATTGTTTAATCACTGCATTCAGTTATGATATTGACAAAGAAAAGTTGTTCTTGTTGTTGTAATAATAAATAAAGTAACTGTTGTTGACACTGAATTTATTACAAGAAAAAATACTGGTATTGATTAAAGACTCACTGCCAGTTTTACTATTTACACTTTCATTAGTTCTAAAGGTTATATTATTTTGCGGTCAACTCTAAAATACGTTGTGCATGTATTGTATTCACCATCGCGCATTTTGTTCCAATTCCATGTATGTAATCAAAAGTTTAAATTTTATACCTGAATATTCATTGTTGTAACACAGTGGTAAAGTATAGGAACGGATAGGGAAGTAAATGAAGTGGAGCAAGACATTGAAGAAGTAGATGTAATCATAGACGAGTTAAAACATGAAGAGGTAAATGAAAGAAATGTTAGATGAACTATCTTTTCCTGACAGATATTGAATTTTTCTCTTTTGCTGTCATACATAAAATCTTGCGTACTGACAATTTACGAAAAGACCTTATGAAATCCGTTATCAGGTCTAGGGCTAAAAATGAAATAGTTTTTACAATACTAAATAAAGTTCAATATTAACGGTTAGCATCAATATATAACGAAACCATTCTTTTCACAGAAAGAAAATTTGCTATGCTACAATTCGTTATAATTCATTTTTGATTGACTGTATGGCTTTATATTAACGAATAAACAACTTGCAATATAACCCTCGTTATATTTCCACACAGCTATCTATATAAGGTCATGTTGTCTGTAAAATATCTATAAAATTTCATAATACGCTGTGTTTTTGAAGGAAATGCGTCAAAATATTCTATAAAAGAACAAGCACATAGTCATGTCATGTAACATAAATGCAGCTGAAAAATGTATAAAAGCATATTTTGAATTCAAATTATGATTGAAGCTGAGTGAGATCAGACTTGAAGAAACAGGTACAGGGTCCACAATCCAACAGTTATTAAATAAGGGAAAATATTTAAGATATTTACATGACTGAAGATTAACTGCCTATGCTGCATCACATTAGTAATCAGATCAGAGAAATGTGTTATAATAGAATAATGCCAGTTATCCTTATTCTTGATAGAACAAGTATGAAATTAATCTTTTAGACGATAATATGTTTATTATTGCTAATTGAGCTTGTAACTAGCAACTAGAAACTGAATAGTTCATTAAGTTTAGATGTTCTAACATTTTATACTCCTTGTTTGTCATGTTCCAGTTACCATAAAGTTATTCATAAGCAATTTCATTTAGCAGAGCCATATTTTGCTACTAATACAGATATGATTATGAAGTATTTTGTATGGAGGTCAAGATACCTTCTTTTACATTTTGCTGCAAATTTATACACATGCAACTAATTTCAACATGTTATAAGCAATTGCATCTTACATGCTTGCAATTCTACCGTAAAATGTATTGTTTCTGAAACCAAATGTGCATTTAACTTGACATTTATACTTGATTGATTTGTTTCCAAAATGACATTGATTGGATAATATCAGATATTGTGAAAAATTGGCATTTGGAACACGAAATGGATCACATTACAGCTTATTTTTAGCGTTCCAAGCCCATTCAGATTGATTGCCTGCCTGACAGATTTGTAAAAAAGTATAGATAACCATAATTGAAGTTAAAGTATCAGATGCATAATTGACAATGTTTCAAATGTCATTTAAAACTTGACATTATCTAATTTCTTTCACAGAAGATATAACAAAAGTTATGACCCTAGTTTTTATTTATTTTATCTATCCCCCTTCCCCGGGTCTCATGTCCCCTTCCCCTCTGCCCTTTGACTTTATGGGCCTATTATTCAATCATTTATTTGTTTTCTTTTAGTTCCTTATCAGTTACTCATTATTTATTCTTATGTATGATTTTAGTGGTTAGCCTGCCCATGCTCTGCATTGTGCCTTGTCCTGTTTTTGTTTGGGGTCCTCCTGGGCTCCTTGCCACTGGCTCTAGTTACAGGGTCGGGTGGGTGTTGCGTTCATTGAACGCCGCCTTTCCTTGTTGATCTTGTTTATATTAATTTTTAATTGCTAATATATATATATAACGAGGTAGGGCGGCGACAATGAAAAATCTTGTAAGCTTGTTCACATTTTTCTATCTGTAATATCAAAGATACGGTCAGTATAAATGAAATATTGGTTATAGACTTCATTTCTTTGGAAGGTACAGGGGACCTAGTGATATGGTGCCTGGGAAAGAGCATGGAAACATATGGGAAGTGCTTCATGATTTTCCAAGCCTTGCCAGATTGCATGTGTTTCTCTTTGCAACCAAACACATAGACCATTATGTGGCACAAGTATGTAGAGGAATATAATTTCGTTTTCGAGCTAATGACTTAACGTTTTAGGGTGTTGGAAGAGCAGAGAATTTCATATTATCCTTGGTCACAATAAACCTGTTTTGGAACTTTATAAAGTGCATTAATTGTGGGGCAGTTTATTCCAAAAGAAACCGATTGCATTCTTTAAATTGTTTCTCTTTTATCTTTCAAACTCTGAAATCATGCCAAGTTTAAATTATTTCCATTTTAATTTACATTCTTCCTTGCTTTTTAGTTTGAAGAAATGGACTCGACCCTGTATGAAATTAAACAGGCAATGAAGAGATTCGAAAGTTCTGCACAAACCATTAAAGAATTCCTTACACAGGAAGCTCTTTCAATATTGACAGACATGATGAGGGGTAATTTAGCATTTCCACAATATATATTTTGATATGCTGTTTGAAATTTCTTAGCTTTGCAACATGATTATGAGCATACATTTTTGACATAAAGGCAGTGTCTCTCTGTATCCAATTATTTAGATGGTATTTATCCAGTGCTATGATAATCATTTTTATGATTAAAATCATAGCTGTATGAGTTTATAGATTGAGTAGTTGTTATTTTGAACCAATATAAATATCTGGTCCGGTAAGCCTTTTTAGTTATCTATGTAATTTGCATACTTTTCTTTTGAAAATTATACATAATGACCTGGAAACGACTAAGTGATCAAATTATTATAATAAATTAAATGACAAATGTTTGTTTTAATTGGAACCGAAAACGATTTTGATAACAAATGTGTTTTATGTTATAATTTTGCCCTTTTCCCATTATTTTAATAACTCTCAAAAGTTTTGTCAATGCTGATTTCCATTTCAGGCCGACAGAAAAATACAAATAGAGAAACACTTGGATTTGTCAGAAGGTAACAAAAATGAATAGCCAATTTGTTTTAAATTGTTCCTAAGGAACACAATAGTATATAACAATATCTAAGCAAACACACAAGAAGATAAGGATACCGGAAATAAAATCATTTTTATATAAATTCGACATGCAGCCAGAATTGAAATTTGCCACTGAACTCCATAGAATTATTAATTGACATACAACAAGATTTCCTAGAATCATAAAAAATAACAACTATAATATTAAAATTTCGGTGAAAAGAAAAGAAAATATTAAAAGATTTTTTTAGAACTTTTCGTTTCATCGTTTCATCGTTCGCTTCTTGGAAAAAAATGTTGAGTCAACCATACATGTAAAATATTACATGTAGAGCTATAAAGTCATCACAGTTCTTCCAAGAAATATTATACCTCTAACCACAACAAGGAACATTATGCATCAATATTTAGAATTATATATATATATATATATATATATATATATATATATATATATATATATATATTATATATATATATATATTATATATATATATATATATTGGGAGGAACATATTAATAAATTCATACATTGTAATCTCCCTTGTAATATAAATTATAAACTTTATATAAGGGTTTTGAATGAGTCAGTGTGACCCTGACCTGAGGTAGTCCAAAACTGCGCTTTGCACATCATCTCAGTAATATAAATATTTCTATTGAATAGATTTAATTTCATTATCTATTGATGTGTCTAAAAGAAACAAAGCTGACACAAAATTTCGAAATTGATACAAAATGATTAAGTGTAACCTTGTCCTGAGGAAGATCATACCTGCAGTCTGCACATCATCTCATTATAGATAACATTTCTGCAAAGTAGTTTGAATTTGGAATATGGAATTTTGCATGACTAGAGTTGCATCAAAAATCATTTTTTATGCCACACTTTATCCTTGCATATCGTGGCTACTTCCTTAAAAAAGACAATTCAAAAAAAAGTTGCCTCGACTAGGATTTGAACCTTAGGCCTCTCACACCCTAAACGAGCGCGATACCCCTGCACCACGGTGAAGTAATACGTAATATGTAGCCTAAATAAAAACAAATACATAATAATTCTAAATTGAGAATTTCCATTTCGTGTTTGTAATCCTTATCAATTTCGAGGTATTTTGTTCACGTCATAAACCTATTTAACACTGATAAAAATAATTTAGCGAAAATCTTCTCGCCAAAACGGTCCGACATGTATATATTCCACTACTCGGCAGTCAGATTTATTTGTATACTACGCCCTGGAGTATTCAGTAATCGATATAGCTAAAAATAGCATTTTCATTGATTAAAATGATATTCATCTGCAAAATTTGAGATTGTAACCTCATATTTCTATTGACTAATCTGAACTTTCAATGCACTGTAATTCGTTAAATGCCTACATTAAAAATTATTCTGTCTTTTAAATTGCTGGTTTTTAAGCAGTTTTGAGTGAGAATTACTTTCAATGTTAGGTCTGTTAGGAAATTTTGTGTTAGACCGTGGATGTTAGCTATGTATTTACTGATCTTGCGATCAGAAAATACAA